GCCATTTATTTTCTCTTTTATGAGCATCTGAAAGAGAGAGCCACTGAAATCTAAAACAAGCAAGTGACTTTCAAGTTCAAGAGTGGCCTGACTTCTAAAGGCCTTTGATCAAAGGCTTCAATGGCTTGTTCACCTCACTTGTCATTTCTTACTGAGTAGTGCCATTGTAGATGAGATAAACCACCCTCCCTTTGCTATGATTTCTTTTTTTTTTTTTTTACAGTGCTGGTTTAAGCTATGTGTATGTTAGAATATTGCTTCTCTGTTTACATATTCAGAATGCAAACAACCATTTTAACCTTTCACCCTTCCAAAGCTGCACCTGCTGAAGTATTTCAAGCTGTGAGTTGTGTGCAGTGGGAAGAATAAATTTAATTTACTGAGCACCGTGATGACTAGAGGTTTTGCATGCTTTTCTTCCTCTAATGATGCAGGGTTTTTTTTCCTGCACAGGCGTAGAAGATTTGAATATATCTCTAATACCTCCACACAGTGTATTTCCTTCCTTTTATTCCTTTAGCCAAGTTTTACATGCTACAGATGGCTGTAAAAAAAGGGAACCATGAAATGGGAAGCAGAGTGGAACTGTCTCTTACTTGAAATTACACCTTTTCAGTTGAAAGCCATATGAGTGATACAGCTCATAAACTCTCTCCTAACCACCTGCCACCTCCCCACCTTCTGACCTTCAGAGAAAACACAGGGCTTGATGGCTGTACATCAGCTGCTGGCTTCCATGGATCCTGACACATCCAAACATTCATCTCCGAGCCACTCGGCACCGACTGCCTCTCCCACATGCCCAGAGCTTCGCAACAGTCCGACTCTACTTGTTTAAGATTCATTGCTACTCGTGCTAATGCCATGCTTTCTAATGGACTCAACTTTATTGACCTGCTCTTAGAATACACAAGCAGACCAGAGAGGCTATTTTTGAACATCCGTGAACAGAGATATTCATCATCCAGGAGAAAGCTGAGCTCTACAGACCCTCTCATACTTAGAGCTTGTCTTCTGCTGGGCACCAGATAAAGACAGATAAATAATGGACAAAACGCTTGTAATGAATGTTATGCTGGTTGTAACTTTACAATCAGATAAAGGTCAGGGGAGTACGATCAAGTGTGTTTACTTGGCTGGGTCAACTTCATTTGTAGTCAGGGGATGAATAGAGATAGTGTAGTGTTTGTTTTAGACTTCTTGATCTGCATTGATAGCACTGTTGGATTCTAGAAGCAGCACAGAAAACATCTGAAATGTTCTATCTCTACTGTCTTCTTTGTCTGGCTACAGGCTAACACTTATTGGAGAGGTTGGCAGTTGTAAACCATTGACCAGAGAGACTCCACTCCTTCTACTATTTTATGTAGAGGTTTATCTCCCTGGTTATTCACACCCCTCAGGTTTATAAAATGTTTGACTTCTGCTAAGACTAGAAAAAAAGTATTAGTGTTAAGAACAGCTTTCACATTTTCACAACATCGGAACGCCTGGATCTTTTAGTTGAGGCAAGCAAAAATATGTAACTGCGGTTTCCATAAATTTAGCTGACTGGACTGCAGTATTTCTTTAACTTGCAATGCACAATTAATGCTTCAGTGTTGTCATATGGAGGCCGTTGTTTTCTGCTTATTTAATTGTGCAAAATTGACCAGATTTTTTTAATCTATGTCTTATGTTAAAATATTTGATTTACTTTGATTTTCATGCATGTTTGAGAAGTCCCTTAATTTCTCACAGTAATTACTCTGGGGTGCCTAAGCCAATGGCCTTCCCAGATCATAAGGTTAATACACTGCATTCCCAAAGGCATTTATTCACTTGAGTGGCATCCATTTCGTAAACCATCTAGTTTATTCAGATGACTGTCCACTCTTTACTGCTGCAACAACGTTTGCTCTTTTGGGAAGTATTTGTACAAGGTTTTGGAGTTTATTTACAGAAATTCTTGACCATTCTTCCAGAACCACATTTGTAAAGTCAGACACTGATGTTAGATGAGAAGACCTGGTTTGCAGAGTTCACTCTGATTTATCCCCAAAACCCAGTAGGCTTTAAGTCAGCCAAGTTCTTTACATTCAAGCCAATAGTTCAGTCTTTCTCCTTGATGAAGTGCAACATTTTATGGCAATAAAAAACCTGGGTCTTTAAAAGTACTTAGTAGCTTTGCACTCAGCACCTGTTATAATAACCACTGTTATTTGCACTTGGCACAGTTCAAACAAATGCTGGTAAAATGTTTCCAATGTTTTAAATCCCATCCCATGCAAAATGTGGGTTAATTACAGCAAAGGCACACATTTTGTTCCCAAGACAAGTAATATCTAAAATCTTGTTTATTTTCACACCTGGTGGTTAAAACCAATCAGCGCCAAGTAAAATAAATAATGCTCTGGGATTGGCTGATTTGCAAATCTTGGTATTTCAGCCTCTTGGGCTGCTTTTCTTTATTTTATAATACTTTAGATTGCAAATTGACAGGTTTATAATTAGAAGTTTTGTTCCACAGAAAATACTCAAGTTCATCCTATTCCTGTAAATTTTTAATTCTCATCCGCTTTAAAGTGATAAAGCACTACATAAGTCTGATCTCCTTTCTAAAAATAAAAATTGCTTATCCTTTGTCTAAGAGGACTTGCTGTTTTTGCTCCTAACCAGCTGAATGGTGTCCTTGAAATAAATGTGCACGTTGGTTGAATGTGTGAATTCACGGTTGCTTGCCAAGCAACTGTGTAATCCACCTTCAAAACACAGTTGGTAGATACCGTTATAATGAATAAACACCAACCATAATATAATGAATACAGAGGAGCAAGCCGTGTTATCTATTTACTTACGATTCAATTTCTGCTTAGAAAACATTTACTGCTGGAGGTATTTTTGAAAAAGTATTTCCAAAGATTCTGCTTATGCAGGTCAATGTCTTAATGGTCAATAAGAGCATTTATTTAGGCTTCAATCAGTGGACAGCATCTAAAAGTTTGCCTGAAATATAAATAGGTCTTTAGTAAATATTGAACTCCCATCTGGTAATGAGGGGGCAGGGATATCACAGAATGTGTTATCACTTATTCCCAAACACTTTCGGTTATAATCACTCACTGTGGATGTAAAACAAGCATGAAAAATAGATAATATATTATAAAAATATTGGATTAAAGCACTGAATTGTTAGTGAGGAATATTGGAATGATGCTAAATGCAGGCTTACTGACTGAGATTTGGATAAAAGCTTTATTTCACTTAACAAAAACCCAAAGCAGGGAATCCAAAATCATAAATCCAACAACAAGAGGAACACAAAGAGAAAATCCACTGAGTGAACGAGTTCCAACACTGCTCATGGATTTGAAGAAGGAGCAAGTTTATATGCTGATGGAGTAGATGACGAGAGGAATCCAGAAAGGCCAAGAGATTTATAGAGAAAAAAGCGATAATGGAACATTTTTAACCAAATAAAGCAGCAGATAACAATACTCACCAACTCACATTTAAATAATTTCCATCTTAAAAATCCCCAGCAGGACAAAAAAAAGTGTAAAAATGTAAAAACTCCACATGTTTTTAATAGACTAATAGGTTTGGTATAATAGTATAATAGAGGGCAAAAATAAAGAAAACATGTGGCTTAAAAACGTACCACAATATAAGAGTTTCATGTCAGTCAGTATCAATAAATATTGATAAATGTTTGGTTTTAAATATCTGAAATCTTGCATATTGGTGGTGTGACCTTTCCTTTTCTTTGCCTACATCTCCCAGAATGCTGTGCGGTTCTGGATTAGAGTTTGGTGAAATTAAGCTGTGTGCATAATACTATAGAGAAAAAAAAATCCTCCAGCAAAGAGTTGTGTCCTATTTTTTCCTATTTGTTGTATTTAGTGCAAACTAAAAGTCTTTTTGCTCTTGGGGAAGCTTGTTTGGATCTAGTAGCCTAATTGCTGTGTGCTTCTCATTAATTTCTTCCTCTTTTTTTTTTCATCCATGTTCTGTGCTGGCCTGTGCGGGGTCATGGTTTCTGAAGTGGACTCACGCTGGCTCTGAAACAGAACAGTAGCTGAGGCTGAATAGAAAAAGGCAGCTTTCCCACATAAAACAACTTCACTGCCACTTTTTGCTCCTTTCTGAGCTAATCTGCTCCCACGGGTCTTGGTGTGGAGGAGAATAAATGCAAGGATAGAATGGAGAAATATGAAAAGGCCAGTTGTGACAAGCACAGAAAGGGAGAGAGATAGCTGTTGGGGAAACGAGAACAAACCCAGTTGGTGTAGGAAGGCTGAGCTGTTTGTCGGTTTTTGTCGTTGAGCGGGCTTAGAGGTGTACTCTGGCATATTGCTATTTATTTAGAAACTATTAGGTAATGATATCCCAATTTCCACATATTACCATCTTTCCCCCATCATGTAGGCTGAACATCTCTGTCATCCAAAAAATGAAGATATTAAAATGTGGATTCTAAAAAATTTCACACACCAGGGGAAGCAGTGGATGGTGTTTTTTATCAGTCTTCCAGAGGCACCACATTCCCTGGGCATCCTCTGCTGCCCATTAATCATGAGCTCTCTTGCATTGTCACCCCAGCCTCCCATCCACCCCACCACCCACACCCCACCCTTTCACTCTCAGCCTGTCAGTTAACAAGCCTCGACACCATGACAGTGACGTGTGTGCGGCTGACTGATGAAAAGGTATTGAAATGCTCCTCCACAGAGGCCAGTAAGATTGTATTTCTCAGCTTACGATGGAATGTAAAAAAAAAAAATAAATAAATAAATAAAAAAAAAAAAAAAAAGGAAAAGGCAGCCCGGCTTGGCGATTCAATTAATTGTGCAGGGGAGAAGGTGCAGCTCTATTTTGAGACGCTTTCCGTTTGACAGCATTTACAGTGGCATGTAATCAACCCGTGTTTTCGTTTTAAGCACCTGTATGTCTCCTTTGCCAACCCCCCAAAAAAGACATCACTGATCTTTTTCCTCTCCTGTGTGTTGTTTTGTGTCCAGGCTCGGTGTCCCTCAGTGTGTTCCTGGTCTCCCTCGCAGTGACGGTTTGTGGAGTTTGGCTGGTGGCTCTTTGTGGCGTCTGTGGTTGGTGTCAACGGAAGCTGGTAAGTTTATGAACAAATACAAGAAAAAGCTTTAAATCTACACTGCATTACATTACAACTTGAAGTGTTAAAGCTGAAGATATTGAATAATTTCTTCTTTTTTTTTTTTTTTTTTTAGCTTTGTTTCATGTTAATCCTCATAAAAAACATCCCTTGAGTGAATCTTTCATGCTGCAGTCTCCTAATAGTTCACTAAAGGCCCCTGCTTCCCCCTTTCAGCTCCTCCAGACTAGTGACAGCAGGAATTAGCAAAAACCTGATGGAACTGTGCATCAGATGAACTACTTCTCAACTACTTCTCAGTATGACTCTCTTAAAAATGATTGCGAACGGCATAATGGCTGAACATGGTTGTGAAGGAGGCGTGTCGGAAAGAGTAGGAGTTTCTTAAAGAGATAGAAACCTGATTTCAAGGTGATCAATTGCACAATTGTTTCCAATGTACCTCACAGTAATAAATGGAGGTAACATAGTTACTTGATTGTAATATAAAATTCCACTATGTACCTGAAAAATACATAATTCCATCCCTTTAATACACCTAGATTATCAGTGAAACATTGAAAACAAAAGAAAAAAATTCATGCGCATATTCTGAACAACCTCGTTTATCCTTGATGGATAAATGTGCACATATAGTATTTGTTGATGCATCTTTTAATTTAATTCTAAATTTAAATCTTTTTAATAAGGTCAGCATTGAAGGCTAAAAAAAATGTCCATTTTGTACATTACCCAAACTTGCTGTTTGTGAACTTTAAGCACCAATGGGTACAATGTGAATCTTTCTGGATGACAGAGATTCTGCATTTATTGTTCATAAACAAAAAGTTTTCCATCAGTAAAGTTACGAGCTCATGTTCTTCCTCCCTTCATAATAATTATTGTTGAAATATAGATGATTTAGGCTAACATTAATTTATGGTATAAAAATTGAAAGTTCTCATTTTGGGTAATATCTTTTGTAACATACAGTATATATTAGTCATTATTACACCATTAGCTTGTCAGTATTCCTACATTTGTGATATTTTTCTATTTGTGCAGCTGTGTGAGCTTAATTTTATCAACCCAATTCACATTTATTTACACTTGAGCAGATAAATCCGGTGGCTGCAAACGTAAGCTTTCTGCTGCCTGGATTCATGCCGTCTGTTTAAATGCCTTTGACAGAGGGCTCCAATGTAATGAGCTTATTTCTAAAAGGCATCACAAAAAGGTGTGAAATGCTGGTTCTAATTTCAAAAGGGGTTCTTATGTTACATCAAATGTTTGCGATGCAAAATTTTTCTAAAGATGTTACAGTCAAATAATTATCAGTTGAAGGGATAACTTTTTCTCCTGAAATATTTTTTAAACAAGAACACAAAAGTCATTTGTAGTGCAAAAGAATTTTCCTGTTGTCTCTTTAGGACCAGATATACTTTAGGCTTTGATTTGAATGTTCACATTCACGTGAAGGTTAAAGCTAACAAAGACATGCAGATGTAGTGGGATGCCAAAACGTATGGAGGGCAAATCCTGCCACAATTGGCAAGAAAAACACAGCTTGATAAATTCATCAATGTGGCAAATATTGCATCCAAAAAAATGAGAATTTTCTCAACTTACTTGACTATACAGTGTCAATTTTTCAGAAATTTTAGCAGGATCTCCTGACCAAACACAGCAGCAGTGGGTTCGGGTGCAAGTAGTTTTTAGTTGATTTCTTCAGGTATGAAAGGAGTTGACTGTCACTAAGCTTATTTTTTTCCTCAATTTAATACTAAATAAGATTTGCTTTGGAAACCAGTGATTAAAATTAATGTTCATAGTTTACTACAAGAAAATTAACATACTCAATATCTATTAGCAAGGGATTACCTAAACATACTCCAGTTTAATCAGAAACCAAATCAAATGAAATTGGAAGAGGTATAAAATCTTACTAAATTAATGCAAAATTGAATTTTACTACATAAATGTATAAACCAACATGTGCTTGGATTTTTTTGGGTTTAGCAAACCAGAATGCTCTCTAAGAACTAGCTGTGCATTGACTTTGTCAGTGCAACATCAGAATTAGCATAAGCCAAGCCTCATTGGTGCAACTCTATAGTTTATAGTAGCTGAGTACTTTAAAAACACCTCTTACCTACATGATGTTTACTCTTAGCTACGCTTACCTACATGAGTAAACAGTGCAGGCACAGTGTGTGTGTAAAATTGTCTCTCTGAGCCCAGATGAGGCAGACTGACCTCTGACAGAGGGTGTGTCATTGGAATTATGTGGTATGAAATGTAATTGATTAAAGAGGATCCCCCATTCATCACACAGACAGACCTATAAGCCTGAATGCCACTTCTTCTTAAAGGATTCTTTTCACATTTTTATGCCTGTAAAATTAATTTATTTCTTTTCCACCCTGGTAACACCAACAAAAACCTGCTTCAAGTTTAATATCGCCTCAGTCTCTTTTTCAGCTCAACGTTGCTATGCCAGGTCACTCTAATAACAGAATTTGACAGTACAGCAGGTCCTACACACACTATGCGCCGCTATATACAATCACCAAGAAGGTGGCCGTGCCTGAATTACCTGCTGATGTCATTACAATATATAGGGGGTAAATGATCCTTGCTAAAATGTAAAGGAGGTTCAGGACAAGCTCTGTGTTGTTTCAACATCACATTATATTTGATATTCCACCTTAAAATAAATGGAGCAGTGAATTTCTTCTAGTTTCCTGTGGTGAGGTAGCTCTGCTGCCAGTGTCATGGGAAGTCTCTGAGGTCCTCCTCTGAGCGCCGCTGCAGATGAATCTTATTTTTATCCTCTGATGGTGCTGTGAAGCAGTCCTGCTGCAGCCGCAAGTTGAGATTAAGTGACAATTTTTCTGACCTCACAACACGGTGATGGTTGCCGTCGACCACACAGAACGATTCTCTTCCCTATTCCATGAGACGGCATTTAAAGCAACCTTTTTGTTTTAATATCAGTGGATCTAGTTACCTTCTGGGTTTGTGTTTGTGTGTGTAGTGGACAAGGTGGGAGGAATTAAGACATCAATTAAAGCGCTTTGTAGTCTTTGGACCACTTACTTTGGGGAAAAAATGTCAGCAGCCCACTGGTGTGAAACCACTTTAAACGCAGCTGTTTAATGTACAAAATAATTAAGTGTGACCGAGATGAATCGAGCTCATTTCTCTGATGGGAAATGTGTTATTGATGACATGCTGCAGTTTGAGGAAGCACAAATAGTGTTAATCTGGTTAAAAACAGCTTTTTCACATATCGTGAAAATATTAGTTCATTCAAAAGTATTCATACCTCCTTAAACATTTTGCCTTTTGTAAAACTAGAAGCTAAAACCTGCTTGTGGCAAAGTGCAAGCGACAGTTTTCAAGGCTTTCTTTCAAAAGTGTCTTTCTTCTTTTCACTCTTCCATAAGGGAAAGATGTTCAGAAGTGCACAATAGACACATGTCCTGTTACCAGATTTCCCACCTGAGCTGTGGATGTCAGAGAGCCATGGGCTTCTCTGATTAATGCTCCTCCTTCTCCTTATCTGGCCTATCAGGTTAGATGATTGGACACTGGCTTGTCTTGTTGGGTTTGCTGTTGTTTTACGATCTGTCAGATATGCTTCAAATGGACACGGGGCTGCTTGTTCAGTAATGTTCTGCAGGACTGTGCAGTAAGGTAGCAGAAATCCAATTTGATGTTTGTTTAACAGCTTAACTTTCCAGTAGACAACATCTTACTGACTTCATACAGAATCAAAAAACACACCTGCACTTCACTCATCTGTACCATTTGGAAATAGGTTGAACTAAACAACAAATTTTAAACAAGCAGGAATAAGACTTTTTAAAATCTAATTTACAAATTAATTTACACAACTGAATGTTCTGCAAAATAAAACATTTAATACAGGGCAACTCATATTGTTATTTAAAATAGCAATACAATACAAAAAAAGACAACCCTCTATTTAGTTGCACCCAGTCATGCCATCAGTGACATCATAAACCAGTAGAAAGGGGAGATGCTGCGCCGGCCTTCTCATGCACCAATACCTGAAGGGACAAAAAAGAAACAAACAGAAGTAATTTACCAGAAACTTACCTTTTGACAAAACTTTCATCTAATAGTGAAATAAATTAGAAATATTTTTAAGGGACACGTTGTAAATAAATACAATCTTTACCACTTCAAATGATGGACGGCACTGGTACATTGCAAGGTAGAACTAGCCTGTATGGGCAAACAATTGCTAATGGATGATGATGTTCTTTAATAATCTGAGTTGTTCACATCACAACTCTTTTAAACTTAGATTATAATATTCACATGCAGACTAGTAATTTACTAACTAGGTATATAGAAATGCACCTGTCATGTTTCAGATCTATGTTTGTTCTCTGAGTACATACCATAATTTACATAATCATGCTCGCTTTAAGCTAAACTCTTTTATTATAAAAAGGCTTCTGTATTTCATTTCCCATAAGGAAACATTTGGGAATGTTTATTAACTCATGTCCAAGACATTCGTTTTGGATATTTCCGAGCACACTCTTACACAGCGTCGGCTTTTATAAGAGCAAGCGGCTTGCCTGGAGCCTCACGTGTCATTTGCGAGTGGACCCATTCCAGTTTCTGGTATGATTCATAGGTTAATAGACAAGATGTTTTTGGGCAAGTGTTGCTTTTGGTATTTTAGCTTTGGCAAACTGGTGCAGTGAGTTTTGTTTCAACGGTCCTCACATGAAGTCATCCTGCTTAAAAAAAAAAAAGCTCCTGTTTGAAGTAGAACACAAAGAACACTTTAGATTCATAGGTGTGGTGAATTTCGAACACGTACATAGCGTTGTTTAATGCCTGATTTAATCCCAGTGGAGACTACAGCAAGAAAACAACAAATACTAACACGATAATCTCTTATAATGTGATTATTGAGCTCCTGTGTGGTGGGGCTGATAGGTGTCAGCGGGGGCCTGTGCTGTCGGTAGTGGGAGAGATTTTCAGATTTCAGAAGCGGTGCGGCTCTAACATCTGTTTGAGCAGCAGTGGCCGCTTGGCATTCAGAAACCCCCCACCTGCTCCTGTGTACCTTGTTGCTGTTTGATCCTTGACATAGTTGTGAGTGGGGTTAAGATTGAACAAGACCACATTCACAGCGCTCACTCAAGGTTTCCCTTTCGTATTTTGCCAACGGCTGTCGTATGAGAAAGAAATGTTAGAATTATCAATGAAATGATCATGAATCAAAGACATTTAAAGGAAGATGGTCATGTAGCTATGAAATGGTTCCTGGAGGATGTAATACAACAATAAGTGTAAAACACAACAGCAGAATGCAGGCAAATAAATAGGATTTTGACAGATCCTAAATATAAATAACTTGATTTAACGTCTATTTTAATAGTTGACTCCTATTTAATTGTGAAGGGTTTCTGGTAATATCGAGTGAGCATGTCTACTCTTGTTGCCTGTTAATTCATGGGAAACAAACACAGCTGGGTGTTGGAAGGCGAGTGCACTGCTGGGCGAGACAGAAAGAAAGCCATGCTTTTAACTCTGCCTCCTCTCATGTTGGGACTCTTTCAGAAAACTCTCAGCATCGCCGCAGGCAGTCCAAGACCACATCTCTTCTTACTCATCTGCAGCTCTGCAGCAGTAACTAAACTTCCTGCTTCCTTCAAACAAAGCATTTGCTGACTTTCTGTCCCTTTTATTAAGTCAAAACATCCTCGTCAGTGCCTAAGATTCGGAAAATGTGTTGTGAAGTTTTTTTCTGTATTGCACCATCCTGCTGCTTCCACTTTATTTTCAGAGTCATGAAAGAGGTGTGTGCAATGTGGAAAATGGGAAAATCTTCTGGATGCAGCATCACCTGAAAAACGTTGTTGTCTTAGGTAGCATGAAACTGTATCAATGTTATGTCGGTTTTCCTAACATTTTGAAGCACAGGCAGAAAACCGGCGTCTATATACCAATTTGTTTTAATTGCCAGCCTTGAGACAACCACACCGGTGCTACCTTCGGTAGACAGCAGAGGTGCCAAAACGTGTAATGTTTGTAGTGATTGAACTTTGCAAAAGACTTCTTGATGGTGAATGCTACATAATATCTTCCCCAAAGTCAATACGAAATTGCTTTTCCTTAAAAATAAATAAATAAAACAAACAAATAAGCAGGCAACATCCCTCAGAGATTTTGGTCCAAATTAACTTTAGAACATCAGGCCATTGCTGCAAATTTGTCAGCTGCACGTCTTGATAGAAATTACACAACATCCTGAAGGGATTTGACATTATGCAATGCAATCTCATAACTTCCTTCTCTGTTTCTGTCATGACAAATATTACAGTTAGAAAGTTTTGTCTGTTAAATTTAAGTTGGTTCTTATTTTTGTTATTTTCTAAATCAAGCACTTGTCCAGAGAAACATGCTAAATTCATAATATAAGCACAACTTGTATAAGAAAATGTAGCATAATTTAATACAGCCAATTCAGAACCCGATCAAATATTTATTTTAGTTCATTCATTAAACTAATTTGTTTTCTTAAAACTAATTATTGAATTCTTTCAAAACAAATGCTTTTTTTCTGGGAATTTGTTCGAACTGAATGTGACTAAATGATCTGAGCCTTACTAATTAACTGCAACACTCCCAGCAGAATTTAAGTCATGATATGGTTGATTGCCAGAAAGTATTTTGGGGATTATTTCATTATTTGACCCATTGTTTTGCTGTGAAATTTATTATGAAGTGCTGACTCAAAGCAAGACCTCACTGAAGCCTTCAGTCTGAAAAAAAAAAGCCAGGTGGTGAATTTTATCACCTACTATTGGTTTTCTGTAACCCAGATTTGGAGGTATTGACTTGATTTTCTCCTTTGTTTTCCGTCTTATTTTGTAATAACTGCTCAGCTTTGTCATATCAGCTTTTATAGATTTCTGCTGCCTTGCTGTGTTTAAGGAGAAGAAAATGACTTTTAGCTATCCATTCTTGTGAATGAGCCTGAAGGATGCTGCACAGTAAAGTTCTTTAGTTTTTATTTTTTGAAGCTGTGTGTTCTCTGCGAGTCGGCTGTGTCTCGCTGCAGAATGGATGACTTCTTCCTCGTTTTGAACCCAACCCACTGGGGACCGTCTGTCGCTCACTGTTTCACTCAGTTCTCATTTGCACCTGTCTCTCTCTCCTACTACCTTCCATGCCATTGTTTCACAAGCTGCCCTGCGCCATCATTGTTTTTCACTCCTTGTGGTCAGGCCTCTTTTTTGTTTTTCAATTTGATTTCCATTTTCAGCTTTCGCTCGTCTTTCTTGGCGCGGGTCCTCCGCTCATCTCCTGGGTCCTCCCACAAATTTTACTATTGCAATGAATGAAACATGAGTTTTGTTTGATACTTTGAAAATAAAAGCACAGTTTTGCTCTCCAAAATTATTGGTTGCAGATTGAAGAATTTGTTGTAGATTAACCAAAATGTTTGGAAAAGGGCACTTCTTCTTCTTAAGTTATATCTTCTGCAGTTTTCAGACACATTTTGAGCTCCTGTGGGAGCACACACACAGATACATGCACATTTTTTTGTGTTTTATAAGGAGTTAATTTGAAATTCATAGTGTCATTCTCTGGCCCTTTCTGTTCTGAAGCTTTTTAACTGGTTATTCTGTCATTCTTTATTCATTTGTTGACCTTTCCAGTTTAGATCATATCTGAACACACAAGACTTGAGCGGCTTAATGTCCGTGTATGTATTAGATATGATCCTGTTTGCTACTGGGCTCTTTATCTTTCTTTCTCAGCAGAGCTTTTGTAAACTCTGACTTTGCAACAAAACCAAAATCCAAATAATTCTGGGATTTGGTTGCAGTTTTTGGGTGAGCTTGATTCTCGTAAACACAAACTACAAAATGTGCCGACCAGCAAGAAAGAAAAAGTTTTTAGGAATGAAAAGCATTTGAGAATAAATATTAAAAATGAATAAAATTAAACAACGCAATTAAATTGCCTCTGTGATCGTCATGCATTTTTGCAGCATAATTTATTTCAGTGAACTTATTGCTTTTCAATAAGGTCAGCAAACTTCTTTTTGACTTTGTTTAAGTTGTCCAGACTTTAGTTTTTATAACCTAACTCTGTTCTAAAACATTCCACACTTTATGCCAGATCTTTTATGTTCTCTGATCTTCCTTGTTGCATGTTAACTTATGTGCTTCAGCAACTTTCTGGGACCTTCACAGAGCAGCCATGTTTGAGCTAACATTCAATTGCTCCCTGATGGACTCTGCTTGTGACAAGATTTATGCAAGCAATTGGTTTCACTGGATTTATTCAAGATTGTCAGAGTCAAGAAGGCTAGATTTTTCAGATTTTTATTAGTAAAAACATTTGATCCCCTCATGTCATGACGTGATAAGGCGAGATGGAAATGTGGCGAGAACTTTAGCTATTTTTTGCGCCATAGTCATATGACCCTGGTAACAAGTATGCTGCTTTATGCTACACCAAAATGCCTAAGGCTGTAAGCTCAATTAACTCCCAGTGAAACAACTGAGCTCTGAGATCGTACCTTAAGTCAATATAAAGAGTTGAACTTCTAGCATGGGGGAACGTACCCTCTTCTTTGTGTGTATCAGAGCATCACTGTTAGTGTTACGTTCATGGCTTTTTGTGTGGAAGAGCAGCATTTGATTCCTAACTCGTTCCACTCGTATAAAAGTGTCAGTGGAGATTACCTGCAGCAGGACACGTGCTAGGCGCCTTTAACAGTAATGAGCTTTTCCAGAAGAAAGCGCACAGCAGAACCTACTTTTTGAGCCCTTTAAATTGCCATTATTTCCATGGTTACTGCAGGTCATGCTCCAGCTGTTTGAAATCAGGTTTGTGCAGGACTTTTAGGAATGCCACTCTCCAGGACCCGGCGGATTACCTCAAAGAGGCAATTGGCATGTAAATGTCAGGGTGGTGTGAATGATAATCATAGTCAGAAATGACTCTTCACAGCAGATTTGATTTGACTTTGATTAGTGTAATCAGAGTATCATGAGGAGTGACGGCACAGTGTTTCTGAGATAATGGGAGAGGCATTGACACTTGAAATTAGCACAGCAAAAACACAGCTACAAAGGAGAAATCCAGGCTAACCATTTTGTGTCTTTGTTTTTGTCTTCATCCCGTCCCTTCTCCGTTTGGCTCCAGGGAAAGAGGAACAAGCCGGGAGTGGAAACAGCCGACACTCCAGACTCTGCACGTGGGCGAGGGGAGAAGAAAGCCATCAAGTAAGTGTCTGGTAACTGGTTGGGGTGGAACAGTCTGGTGATAATGAGCTCGATTTGGTTCGGCTTTGAGTCCCCCCAATAAACAACAACGCAGAAAATGAGCATTAATTGTTTTTGTTATGCGACAGTTTCCACAAAGATAGTGCAAAGATAGAGCAGTGTAACACCAGGACAGTGATTTAATCAGTTTAGATTTAATCTGCATTATTTCATATTTGAAGATCTTTGTTGTGGATAAAATCCTTTGACGGCTCAAGAGGCTGCAGGTTCAAGGCAAAAGACGTCTTGTGAAATGCATGAAGTCTGATTGTTTTGGGGAGATATTAATCTCACATTTCTTACAGGAATGAAACTGAGATGAAGGCATTTTATCATCTAGGTAAATGAAGCTGGTTAGGGCAGGTTTATATTCCTGTATGTGCTGCTGTATCCCACGTGATAACCTGCTCGTTCTCTTCTTTAGCCTGGTTTTGCCTCAGCTACATTAAGTGTGTGTTTTATTCATTTCTGTATTGATGGTTTTTAAGCACTGAAATGGGCTTCAGCTTGTAAATGCATTCTAACTCGGTTTGTTGGATCTCTTAAGTTTTTATTTTTTTATTTTTGTTATTTTTTTTCTGACTGGCTCCAGCAGCGTTTGTGTGCTCTGTTGGTCATTTCAGCTTCCAACTCCTTCCTCCTTTCTGCTCTGTCCCTGTGCTACAACTCTGACCGCTGCTGTGTGACTTGTACAATATTAGTGATTCTGCTCACTGCACTCTCTGACTATGTGTGTAATTTCTCTGCACTGTGTTTCTTGCTTTCTTTCTCACTTCTTTTAACACCAAGGTTGGGGTGCAGACTTCACTTCTGCTTCAAGACTTTTCAAATTTTATGTGTCTTTTATTAGTTTGAGTCTTTTTTTTTGCAAATATGTCTGTGCAGTTGGCCACCCTGAATAACCGCCAATGCATTTTTAAATACACCTTCTACGACGACTTATCTGCATCAGGTAGAGAAACAGACTTTAAATCTGGGCCTGCTGTGTTTTCCGTCGATGCAAGAACAACCTTCGTCCTCCAGCCAAGCCCCCGGGACGACCTGTGATGCGAATGCTCGGTTGGTGCCAGGTCTGTCCGTAGTTGTGTTGCTCTGACCTGTCTCTCTCTTTGGTCGCAGTGATCTAGACAGAGACTTTTGGAATAACAATGACAGCAGCACAGTGCAGCAGAGGTGGAGCTCCTATCCGCCCAAGGAGTTTGTACTAAACATTTCTCCCTATGCCCCATATGGAGATCCTCGCCTCACGCTCAAGTGAGTCTTGATCCAAGTTTGGTAAGAGACTTCCCTCTGAGCAGGGCTGTAATGAGGCAGGGGCAGCACTGCTCTCTTTCTATTTCTCATTTCCCTTTTTCTTTTCCTATCTTCTCCTTCCCATATATTCCCTTCACCTGCTTTGCTGTCATGACCATTAGCAAACACATCCAAATTATGATTGGATGTGGATAATTTCCAAACGTAAAGACCAAATCTTCTCACAGATAACGGGATATTTACTGTAACACCCATTTTATAAATGCAATAAAAATGTGCATATTTGTTGACCTGCTTTTGTTACACAACGTCATTTCCATCATCGGTAACAACAACAACAACAACAACAACGATGGTAATAATAACCCGACCACTATTGGCACACTGGAGGGCACAAATGATTGCTAATGATGGCTCTGGTTGGGAAATCTGAGCACAGCAAATGCCACTTATGCACATTATAGCATCCTGTTAAAGGCATTTGTCTATTAGTGCATCAACAAAATAGCACAGTCATAAAGCCCCCCAGCATGTTTCTGCTGCTTCTCTTCATATTGCGCCTCGCAAAAGTATGTACATCCTTTCATATTTCAAAAAATAAAAATAAAAGCAACACAAAATAAAGCATAATTGTGAATTGGAAAGAAAATTATAAATTGTTTTAAAATATTGTGGGAAGAAAAAAAAAGAGTGAAAAGGCAGTTGAGCATTTGAACCCACCCCATTTTACTCTGATGCCTGTATATACATTTTAGTGCAGTCAGTTGTCATCTAATTAGCTTGATGCTTGTTTGTCTCCTTTTTAATGTGAAGACCTGAGAGGTAAACGAGGTCAGACAAGTCAAAGAGCCAAGAGTCCCATGGTAACTATGGAAGAGCTGAGGAGATTCACAACTTAAATGAAATGGAGGATAATGCTTCAGAGGGTCAATGATCTTACACATACAGCCACATTTACAGGGTAGTAGTTTAGATTAACGCATACTCTTGTTTGAATGGACTAGACAAAGTCCAGACCTTCATGAATGATTTATAAAAGATGTTTGCAGATGCTATTCATCTAATCTGGCTGAGCTTCAGCTGCTTGGAAAGACGAATGAGCATAAAATTCAATTTCTTGATGTGCTACACTGATGAAGGTAAAAAGCGATTTTAACAAATGTTGTTTAAATGCAAATCCATGCAACATATTTCAGATTAACAATACATTTTCTGCCACTTTACATATGTTTTATTTAGTGTTGGTCTTTCCCATAAAATCAAAGTAAAACACATTTCAGTTTGCCAGCATCACCCGACAAAGGAGTGTGAATACTTTTGCGAGACCACATGTAATATCACCTTTAAGTGACGTTCAGACGCCCCCTCACTCTCTACAGCCCTGCTGTTCCACACTAACTCCTGACCTATAACCCCGCCCCTCTCTGCCCATGGTGTGACCATGGAGACGGACAACCCTCATTTTCCTCCTCTCGAAAAACACTTTTAACCAACCTTTCTCGATGATGTTTGAAATCTGCCTGTTTCTTATATCTGTGTGGCGTTGTTGTGGTTGCTTTTGTTGTGGAGGGTTGACCGTTACCACCAGGTTGCAGTGTGGTGACAGTTCTCACCTGTACTTAACATCCATTTGTGGCTTACTCTTGAATTCTCCCCCCATTGATGTAATATCAACAGTGTGTGCTGCACTAACATTGAGTCACTTGAACTGCATCTGCTCTCTGTCATTTTTGGGAGACAATATAACACTGTTTTCTTTCTCCTTATTGCTATAAAAGTATCACTTAATTCCAGTGAAACTCCAGCAAGGTCACCTCTGGGCCCTGAGAGGACATTCCAACTCTGGGAACTGATCTGACAAAACTCCTTATAATTTGTCATCTTAACCAGATTGCCCGGAAAAAAATCAGTATTTCAGTATTTGAGAAAGCATTCGAGTTTTTCATTTGTTTCCTATAAACATCTGAGTCATTAGGTCCTGCCTTTATGTGTGAAAAGTGGTGAGTTTTCTCTTCGACACAGTTAGCAGAAATAATCTGCTAAATCACTGGTGTGTGGGCCTGAAAAAAAGTGACATTCAGTCAAAGTGAGACTATATAATGATAAGTTTCTCACAGGGAGAGACGAGGGCGACCTCTTGACTCCCACCAATAATACGTGGCTAAAGCCAACAGACAGCTGGGAAATCATTTCCTTTCTGAGACTCCCTCAAGACGAGCAGCTTTCCGTCATCGTAATGACACCGGGCCTCATTTAGTCAGTCTCCCTGTAAAAAGGATTTAGTGGATTTAATAATAATTTTTAAACATTTTCAACAGCCATAACATTCTCTTCACAAAAGGTTATAGCTACGGAAATATTAAAGTCATAATTTAATAAAACCTGTTCAGGTAAGGAAATTGTATTTTTACTGGCTTCCACTTTTATTGGCAACCCAAGTGGAGCAGTGTAAAAAATAACAATTATTTTAAACGTTTATCGAAGTGACAGACAATAAAAATCAGCAAACCCAGCGTTTATTTTAAGTACTTATAGCCAAACTGTCTAAAAATTGCACAAACACATGCACACACACAGAAAATCATCATTCCGGTGCTGAATTCATAGATCTTGGTTTTACTGCCCTTCAATTTGCCCCTTTTGCAAGTTAGTAACAGTGATTCTTAATGTCTTTCTGTCACTCGCTACCTCCATTTGTACCTTTTTCAAACCCATATGTATTCTAATAGCTTTTGGCTCCAAACCTGGATAGTTTTTATAATAAAATAATAATAATTAAAAAAAACTGTAATATTTATGCAGCAGTCTGTCCACTCTGAGTGAAATTTGGAGACACGAAAGTTATATTTGAATTTCCAAAATAATCCTACTTGTTTCTGCTTGTGTTAAAGAGTAAATATGCATTCACCTTGTGCTCTGCTCAGATGAGGCTTGTGTCCCGTCCTGACCATCGCACGGCTAAAGTTGTGATCGATAATGTATAAATATGCAGGATTGTGGCAGGTAGCGAAAGTCAAATTTGAAAGGTGACCCTGGTGCAAGTTTAATACCCTTAGCTCACAAGCATGCACGGTGAAATGCAAAGTCTTAGGAGCCTGGCGTTTTGTGTCTCCTGGAGCGGAGATGCCATGCATATTAATGAAATGCAGTCATGTCACCAGAGGGCACTAATGTTCTTTTAATTTTGATCACCACTACACCCGTTTTGAGATTAAATTTGAGTTGACATCTGCCTTTAATGGGGACGTTGATTAATTCCGGTACCTTGTGCCTGTTTTTGAAGGCCGGTGTGATTAGCACAAGACTTTCTGCTTTGCGTGTATCTTTCTGAATAATGTCACAGACTCTTAAGTGCTGCCTAAATGACAAGTAGATATTTCAAAAGGGATCTTTTACACATCAAGAGTGGCTTATGAGCACCAAATATTTCTCATGACATTATAGTTTATTTAATAAGTAGCACATCTCAAGGCCTAGAAGCTCAAATTAAATAAAAAGGAATAACTAAAAAGCCAATCTGCTCACTTTTTCTGCTCAAATCTGTGTCCTCTAAGCCCAGAGGAGGAACTTGTTGCTGGTTTTTCATCCTTCACAGGCTACCTCTAAATCCCTCTCCTCCTCCTCTTGCTTCACCTAACCGTCCTCTCCCCATCCCTGTCCTATTCCACGCTGGACTCCAGACCACTTTCATTCACCTGCTTTCTATTTGACCTTGAAACCTGGGTCTGCTCCTTCACACAGTCCACCGATCGGTCTCACCACCTTAACCATGTGGTTTCTCAATCTGTTTTTTTTGTGTGTGTCTGTGTGTCTCTCTCACTCTCTTTGGTCTTTCTCTTCTCTGCCCATCATTGTCCCCCTCTTCTGAACCCTTTGTCAACTTTGGGATCTCTACATCATCTCTTGTCCCTCAGTGGGGCGGTGTCAGGGGGGCAGAAGGGGGCTGCCGCAGCTGGGCATGGGGGTACTAGGGGGGGTCCTTATCGCAGCGACAGCATGAAGAGCATGGTGACAGAGGGAGTGAAGGCTGGGAAGTGGCAGACCGTCCAAAGCCACATGCAGTCCGGAGGATTAAGACCTACCAAGTGAGTTCAGAACCAGAGATTATAAAAATCAACACTTCAGTTGCAAAATGCACACCTGACTCGCAAAAGATTTAGTTCTTTTGGGTTTATCCCTTTAGCTGCATCAATTATTACATGAATGACTTTAATTTGGGAACAAAGAAACAAATGATGTGATATTAACACCCTTCAAGCCCCACTCAGTATGAAGCCACTTTCCTTTCAAGCAAGACAGTTCTTCCTGTTGTTGCTATGCACATTTTTTATTGTGTCATCACTACGTGTTGAAAGACGCATTAACAACTTAGGCAGACATTGAATATGCTAACATTTTCTCAGTAGATATACTTTTAATTGGAGCTATTGATTGGACCGAGAAGCTTTTTATACCTGATGACTGCTTCTTTCTAGATTTTGGGTACATTCGTGTTTTTTTTCATCTTTAGTGGAGTCTTGCGCAGAATTACATTGGAGGTTTTCCTACAATGATTGTGGGAAAACCTTTTCTGCTAATCCAGCTCTTTCTCAAGTGAACCTGAGATGAATAAGGGTAAAACACGCTGAAACAGATAATTGGGATTTGAGGTTAGCCGGAAACCTGATACCGACTTTTTCAGAGCCTTGAGACTGTAACTACTTACAAAAGCATTCTTATATAGACTTAGAGACTCTTTGGGTGTGTGTAATATCTTCATGAGAGTAAAACTTACATGCTGCCAGCAGGTTAAGGTAGCTAGAAATACATAAATCCTCTCTTTCTCCCAAACTTGAATTGTTGCATTATGTTACTTCTCTTTTTAATTTAGACTTGAACTTACAATGTGAACTGTACAAATACATCAGCTGTGACGTGTGATATGATGCCGGGGCTATATTCAGTCTTCTGTAAATGAGGCAGTTAAATGCAGGTGCTGTGATTTTCTTCACATTCCGTTGACACTTCATGCCTGCGATTTCTTCCTCCACAACACATTTACTCTCATCACTACCTCGCTCCCTCCGTTTCTCCTTCTCTCATCTTTCTTTTTGCCCCTGTCTGTAATTGGATTCTATTTTCAGGCCGCCATGAGTGTCTGTGTGTCTCCTGTGTTTGTGTCTCACACCCTGTTTCTTTCCAGCTCCCCTCCATCGTCACCCTATGCTCCCATCGTTCTCCACTGGTGTGTCACCATCTCCTCTGCCCTGCCCGCTCTCCATTGTTTACCTCTTTCTTACTAACTGGTTTACTTTTGCAAGGCATCCATTGAACTTTTTTTCATCCTCTCATGTGTAGCTGTTAGGTACGGCGAATATCACAAGAAAAACTGCATGTAAATTGTGCTGGATGAGGTAATGCAAACGGCACAAACTGATGGGAATAGCTCTCTCATGACCTAGTTCTGGTAGTCTGGGTTACACAGCGATCCAAGAGAGGAAGTTATATTTAGTTTGGAGAACAAAGTAGAAAAAGAGAGGAAGAGAAGTACGGTAGAGTTTGCAAAACACAAGAGTGATGTACATGTAGGCAGACAATAAAATTCTAATTGCATTGTGGGATAGTGGTTTGAGTCATTTTAGGCAAGGCAATTAATCAGTTAAACAGTATTTAAGAAGGGGAGGAGTGGAAATTAGGAGCCTGACAGAGGGAGGGAGTCTTGCTGTAGAAGTTGGTTGGCTGTCAGGATCTCTCTAGAGGTCCTGCATGTGTTTAAAAGACCAAAAATACTTAGAGAGAAATGAGGAGAGGCTATCAGAGGTGGAAATGTTGACAGGCGAGTAGAAGAAATGGGGATTTCTCGTCGGACCACAAAACTCTCGACGGCGAGGCCTGGAAGCAGTAAAACCTCGACGCGCACCCCGCGATGCGGATGCGCCGCTCAGAGCCGCAACACGACTGTACGGACGGTCAACATCCGACCGCTGCCACTGCGAAGCTCACCTCCATACAAACAGCATGCTCAAGCCACACATCCACGCAAGGCGCACTCGCGTCTGACGCAGACTCACTGCTCGACTCAGCACCACGAGCAGCACATGGCGCATGCCGATCATCACTCAGGCTGCACCTTTTACTGCTATTTTTGTTACTGCTGTTACAGCTGCTGCCTCATGTTGCTCTCTTTTTCTCTCCTCCTCCTCCTTTCTCCGCCTCCCAACGCTCCTTTCTCTGATCCCTCCTCCACTTTGACCTCAAATACCATCACACCTCCTCCCTCCTCTCCAATCACACAACTTTCAACTTCCTGTTTGGATGAACTTTCCTGCTTCTGCCCGGATGCCAACCTGACTTTGTCTCCAATACTTCCTCATTGCCCTCGACCTCTTTGTCTAATCTCGGATGATTCCTCACCTCTCCGCCTCACCTCCTGCCCTGCCCCAACCACCTCCGCCTGTCATGGTTCCTCATACTCCTCTACATCGGACTCCCTCCCACGTCCTCACAAACCTATTCTCTGCCGGCCCTGGCCGTCAACCCGCTCTCTTTCCTCGCTACTCCTCTGCCCTCCCAGCTTTGGCGAGCCGGTCTTATCCTATGCCTCCACCCTGGAGCACATTCCCTCCCGGCCTCGGACGCTGCTGCGGCAGCAGAGTCTGCAGCAGCCCCTCATCCACCCACCGGGCCCGGCTCTCAGCCACCCACCTACCACATCCCAAAGCTTGGGACAGTTACACACAGGACCTGGACAGCCTGGGGGAGGTGGTGGGGCAGGGAGAGGAGATGGTGGCGGAAACAGTGGTGAGGGTGGGGGTGCAGGTACACGAGGCAGTGGCCGGGGTGCACGGGGCGGCTCAGCGGGAGCAGCCGCCTCACGTTATAGGGGAGGCGGAGCAGGAGGGCGCACTCGTGGCAATCCAGGCAGCTGGGATTACATGATGGACCAGATGAAGAACCGGGGCCTGGATGTCAAGTCCTTCCTGTAAGTCTCTAAAAGCCTTTCTTTGCTCATAAATAGACAATAATAGCTGTTGTCTGTCAGACTGTGCTATGTATATATTGTTTTATATTTATGTAAGGTATGTCTTTAATGTGTACTTCTTTGCAGAATTGAATAGTTTTCAGAAAAATGACTTTATATGCTTAAGTACTACAGCCTATAGATTCTCATCCTTCAAGTGTTTTCTGTATGTGTGCATCAAATATCCAGGGAAGGATATTACTTGTTTTTCTCTAAATATAATGAATTATATTTGTCTTTGCAAGCCTGCTGAAGTGTGTAAGAGAACATGGCAGTGGAGTTCAGTTCAGAAATTACTTCTTTTGTAACTTTTAGTAGATATCTACAGTTACAGTAATAGATTTAAGATATATGAACTTATCTCCAAAGTATAAAAATGTATTTACAAAATATTTTAGCCTTCTGTTAAAATAATTTTATTAACAAACTCTAACAAAGCTTGTAACAATGAAAGAATAGGGACTAATAAACCAACTAGAGGTAAAACAGCAAAAGGGCCCACAAGAATAAAGCAATAAAATGATGCAGTGATATCAAAGTTCACTGTACGTGTTTACATATACATAATTGAGATTCTTTCTGCAGGAGTTCAGATAAGCTACATTTAGGCCTATTTTTCAGCCTAGTACAGTCACTGGTCACCCATACATTTGGTTTATGGTCATGCTGGAAACTTAGATGAAAATGGGTAAATGCAATTCTTTCTGAAATTCAGTTTTTACCAGTTTCTTTTGTTCAGTATATCATTCATACCCATTTTTCCAGTCATAGCTTGGTAGCACACTTTAGCCATTATTTCCCACTCCAGCATGGAAATAAGTTTAAATTTAAGTTGCTAAGTTGCATGACAGCCTGCCCTTAACACTGGATATTTTTAATGGATAACTGCTAGAATTTGAGGACGATGTTTATTGTGTTGTATTTTGTAACCCTTAGCCTTTTTACTTGAGCGTCTTGAACTGAAATCTTGGGATTTTGAAGGACAGAAACCATTATTTTGGCAACTTTTGCTTTTCAGTTGTGTGTATGCTTCTTACGATAAAGAGTTATGTTGAATTTCTGACAGTATTCAGTTAGACTTTGTAATTTCTGTGCCAGTCTAGCATTCTGACTCTGATATGCACAGACATGTGTCAGCACCTTACTCCCAACAATTTACCAGAATAATTTACCTTATATAAGCTTGACGTGAAGTGTTTAGGCAGCTATCTTCTTATTTTTTTACTTTTAAGCATGTTTTAGTGTTTAGCTGTGCTATTGTGATGTAGCTGTCAAAACATGTTCCTAAGAAACCATTCAAACTCTATCTGCTGTTAGTTTTTCTCGCATTAACTTGGTTTTGCTGTAAGTCACTTCATGCTAACCTTACATGTGGATCAAAAGAGCATTAAAATACTGATACATATATAACCAGATTGAAGTTGTATTGAGACATTTTTTTCATTTTGCTCTGACACTCAGAAAAATTTAAGCTGATGTCTGTGGACATCAGACATTTTTGCACGGACAGAGGACATAGAAAAATAAAAATTGTTGTGGAAGAAGGCATTTTATTACCTGGTTAACTTTATGCTCAGATACAGTCCTTTCACAGTCTCACTGTATTACTGGAGATTTCATTAACTGCTATTTGTCCTTCTGCAGCTTAAGGTTATTCCTTGCTTTAAATCCAGGAATCCAATTGTTTCATAATCTTGTTTCTAACAGAAAGGCTGCTTTTGGGAGGTAGGAAGAAATCTGTCCTCTTGACCTGTTTACTTCCACTGAGCTCACCAATGTTTCCTGCATCGATGATCTTTGTAGAAAAATTGACGCATTGTTTCGAAAATGGTCTGTCTTTTTAATCAAGACAACAGTCCGTACCCCATTCATACAGTTTCGATATTTCCTGGTTTTAAGAGAGCTTACCAAGCATTTTTGTCCAGTTTTTTATAAAAATGTATTGGTCCACCTAAAGAGGGACAAAACCAACTTACAAGTGACCTTTCAGCAAGATATAGAGTATCTTTTAAGTCAATAGTATTGATTAGAAAAATAGTTATAAGTCCACTGGCAGATTTGTCTTCTTATATGTGAAGAAATCTGCCAGTGGAACTAATACTTTTTAAAATTAAGGAATTATTGACTTACAACAAGCTTTTATATCTTTCTGAAAATTAACTTGTAAGTTAGTTTTGGGTTACTTGAAGTGGATCAAAATATTTGCTCCAGAAACTAGACAAAAAAAAAAAATGCCTAGAAAGATTTAATACTTTTGTGATTTCAAATGCATCACAGATAAAAATCTGTGGCAAGAAGAATCGGTATTAAAATAATTCATTCCAGACTTCATCGGTGTAAAGTATTAAAGATTTTGAAAAAAAGCTGGGCTAAGCCCCTGCGCTTCACCCAATTCATTACAGGAGCTGATCATGATAATGTGAGATAATGAAGCTTAAAACAAATAAGGACTCAATAAACGAGGCTATAAAAGTGCAATTAAAAAGGCTAATAAGCATAGAGCAACACATGTAAATATGTAATAAGACGTTAAATTTGAGCTTTATGGTTGTAATATGGATTCTTCCCTTTATTAAAATCAGTTGATTGACTACATTTATTCACCTTAATATTAGATTCCAGGCATACCAGGGAAAGCATTTAAATGTCTCAACAATGTCAGTTTACAACATTCACAGATGATGTGCCTCTAATGAGCAGTGATAAAACAAAAAGCGACTCCTTGAAAACATAAAAAGTGCTATTTTTTTTATTATTTAGAAAGTCCTGCCTGAAGAATGACAGGAAAGTGCGACATACTGTGGGTTCTCGTTCTGTCGGAGGATTGTTAAATGGTTCCACTGCATGCTCTGCTAAACAGTAACATCTGTTTTGTTGGCATTCAGCCTGTCTGCTTGCAATCGCTGCAACAGAATGGCGCTTACTTAATTACATTCCTGAGATGGTGGTAGGAAGAGCTAGAATATATTTATCTTCGCATATATCTCATCCAGTTTGGTTATTTTTATCCACGTTTCATATGAAGCAGAAGTTTAGTTAACCTATCTACTTCTTGTCTCCAATCTGTTCAAACCTTTTGTAGAAGTATCAACACCCACTGAACGTTTCAATTTTCTTCCTCGTCACGATCAGAAGCATCTGTGTTTTGCTAGAAAAAAAAAGTCCTCAAAAAAGCTGCAATCTTGAAAGTTTTTAAACACATAATTTTTCCAACACACCTGAGTAATATGAGTATCTCCATTCCAGGCCTCTGCACATTCGGTATGATAATTTTTCAGTACAGAGTAAAGTTATGTATCCATCCTTTATTTAATCAGGAAAAATATCTCAGGGAGATTAAAAACCACTTCAACAGTGACCTGGCCAAGATAGCAGCATTAAAAATACAATAAATCCCAAAGTACAAGACCAGACATACAAAATGAATAACCAAGAGCAAGCACATCACCAAATATTAAAGCAGTTACAGGAGCAAAGTAATCTGATCTCTTGGTTTTTTTTAGAATTGATTTATGTTGCCCTAAGATATGATGTGATTTTGAATCCTTCTGCAAATTATTCTAGGTGGCTGGGTGGAAAATTTAAAAGGGGTTTTATCCAGTTCAGTTCTGACCTTTTGAAAAATAATGTCCCGAGAGCACGTTTTGCTGTATGAAAAGAGAAATAACACTGTCCATCTAATTCACCCTGTTGTGTGACGATGCACGGTAGTGGCCACATTATGTTGTGGGTATGCTTTCCTTCAGCATGGACAGGGAGGCGGCTCACACTTGAAAATAGATGGAGCTCCAAGTAGAGCAATCTTGGAGGAAAGAAACTGTTAGAACCTGCTGAAGACTCAGGTGACAACAAGAATTACAACCAACCAATGGGATGCTTTAGATAAAAGTACAATACTTTTTCATGTTATAATGGCCCAATGTCCAGAGCTAAATCCAGTGTCAAAACTTGAACATTCACATTTTGGTATCCTAAAGATTTGCTCCTGTAATTGCAATGAAAGATGGTTCAATAAAGTATTGGTTATACAAGGCCAAACAATATATTTTAAAGTTTTATTTGTGAAAATAGAAAAAAAATACAAATAACATTCGTAAGGTATTATGTCCCCTTCACTTTACAGTTATGCGCTACTTAATGTTGGCTCATCAAACCAAATCTTAACAAAAAGCAGAAAAAATGGTTAATTTACCACCAAGGTTTAAAGAGTATCAATGCCTTTGGAAGTCAAAAGGCAGCCTGACACGTCACTGTGCATCAGTTTAGGAACAATGGCTAAGCAGCTGTTGGTAGATTTGAGTTAACCCTCTCGCATTGATCTTATGTCACTAGCACCATTGCTTCTGCAACATATTGTAACTCCTTGCCCGGAGGAGGTGGGAGGGCAGATAAGAGAGGAGGAGTGTGATGAAGGGACAGATGAGCAAGGACACTGTCAAGGTACAGCATGTGTTCAGTGTGCACTGAATCAGCTACACTCTAGCCTCTCTCCATCCATTCCCTCTTTCTTTGTGTTCTCTGAAGCCTTCCCATGGATGTCACAGCTGAGCTAATGCCGGTGGCTGAAGTGGGCATCAGCGATGCAGCACAGCGCGCAGCCTCCAAGGTCACTGACAATATGGTCCATGATCATCAACCGTTGCACTCATTGTTGTAAATGCGAATTTAAGGTCATTGTTGGTGTGTTTCCGCCTCTGGAACATCAACGTCTCGCATGATTGATGGCACAGAGAGGGCAGTAATAGACATGACCCTTCGCTGAAGACAGTTAATTTTAATCTTGGCGAGATTCCCTGTTTGGCTGAATCATTGCCTAATGAAAGTGTTGATGTCATTGACACAGATCTCTTGCCTTTGGAGAACTTGGACTAAATGGATTACTCTGAAGACCTATCTCCATTCTTTTTGGCTGGAAATCAATAATTCACCCCAGCTTCATTGACATCCCCTCCCTCTCTCACCTCAGTTTTCTTAATGTCTGGTGCGTTGAGCAAAGTGCTTTCATGAGAGTCCTCAGTGTAAATGCCCGTACTTAAAGAATAATGAGAAAAGAGGCACGCAACAGCCATTATGCTTACTGTATCAATGTAAGCACCATATCATGTTGCATAATCCGGTGATTTTTAACCAGCACTACAAGTAGTCGGCAAGTGCTTCCCCACAAATAGATGCAGTCAGGTCCATTTGGACCTGGACGCAGGTTTTTGTTGTCTTAGTTATTGATAGTATCAAAACACTTATTATAATTCAGTTATGGGTTTAAAGCACAAAGTTTTAAATGTAATAATAAAGTTTGCAGTTGGAGGACATTTTATGATGCCGTCGCTCAACTTTTTAAGGTGATCAAATCTCTTTTAAATCACACTTTGTCAAAATGTTGAAACGCTTATTAGAATAAATGTCATATTAACGTAAATGTTAGATTTATTTTACTTTTTACTGTAAATTTAAAAGTTTTGAGAAATTTTCTTTAGTATAAAGACATTTCTGACTAAGTTCAAACATTTTAAAACATTTCTCGTGACAGAACCAGCCGTAACAGAGTCCAGTCTGTAGGCTGACCTGATCTCACACACCTTTTTGTCTCTGTCCACAAATTTCCTATTAGACTGAGACCAGAACATTCAAACCCTTAAAAAAAACCTTTTAATTCCTACATTCATGATAATTATTAATAAATGTAAACTTGTCAGATCAAACGGCTTATAAACAAAAGATTAGAGTTGGATAAGTCCTTGCTAGGAACTGTAGCAGTCAATGACCACTTGACATCTTGAATCTACAAAAGACACTCTGACCAATGGGTTTGCATTGTGCAGCTTTGTCATCTTTCATTTCTCTGCCCAGAGTTTTGCTTTGAGCATTTCCATCACACTGGATGAGCTGTTTGGCTCAGCCGTCTCTAGATTATGCCCTATTCTTCTTTTAGAAATCCCGGGCCTACCTTCATAGTATTATTTTGGGTCATTGCCTAGTTAGTTTGCGATCAACTGTCTCATCAACTTTGCAGAATTTAAATTTGAGCAGACACCCCCTCCTTACAAGAAATGGAAACTTAGAATATTATTTACCAGGTAATCAATGAAACCAGCTGGTATTATTTTCTATCTACTCTTGTTCCACTCTATGATCTGTTTTCTTTAAATCAATCTGGTAACTGTTGATAAGCTGTATCTGTCCAGGTATATTGTTCCAGAGCAGGTACGGCTTTTCAATACATCTCTCTTTGGCTGACTATAGCTAAGCTTTTCTATGCTTGAGTTTCATGAATGATTTGCATAGTAGACATTGAAAATGATATGTTTACCTCTTGAAGAGTGTTTTTCACCTGGCTGAATGTTCTCAGGGCTTTATTCATTCATTTTTTACCCTAAAAAACGATGCTATGATCATCTTTGAATGCTGTCTTCAGTGAGAATCCAGACCTTCTCAGAGTTCCTGCCATCTCGCTTGGTTTCTTTTTTTTCTCATTAACTACAGCGCGCCTTGAGCTTCTTAATTGCATATTGTGAGTTCACAGTGACAGCTTCCAAATAAACATATCACACTTCGAATCAGCTTGGACCTTTAATGTGCTTGGGGGCGGAGGAAACAATAACGCAACACACTTGCCTGTTCACAGCTTTTAAATGTTCCAATTTGCCCCTTGAAAAAGAGGGTGCTTCATTGAAACAAAATTTGTATGTGAGCAGCCTGCAATTAGAATTATAGCCTGCACTTTAAACCTACATTCATTATTCAAATTGCATCTAAAATGAACTACTTTTCTAAATAGCAGAAATAGCAAGTTGTGTTTGTAGCAAAGACCCGGTTCTCACCAAATCACACCAAGGCATCAAAAATAAAACTCTTAATAGCCTTCAGAGTTTTGGCTAGGTCATCAAAGGCTCATCAACTCAACTTAATGTAGCGCTTCCAAAATTAGAAATGCCCAAAAAACTCCCCAGGTGGGGACAAACACACACAAAGGAAAGCTGTGCAGATCACATGCAAAAAGTATTTGTATCTTAGGCTAAGGGACACCTCTGAATTATATTTTGCAATGACAAGAGAGAAGAAGTGAACAAACATCCTATCATTTTACAATAGCTGGTAACTCTTAAAAAACAATTTCAGGCTTCAGAGCCGAGGTGTAATTGACTTAATTTTCTGTGCATGATTCTCATTTGCAGCCCTCTTTGAGATATAGATACAAAGAATTGTGATGTGATAGGTTTTCTGAAGGATGTGTGACAGCTCAAAGTATTAACAGAAGATGGAGTTGCATGAGCAGAGACATAAGTGGTTCAGGGAACATTAACAAGCTCATCTCCTACTCAGAAGATGCTAAAAGTTAATTTTTTCCCCTTGTTTCTTTTGTGGTGGTTTTGCTCCTGAACTGATAAATCAACGCATAATCTTGATTTCTTATCTTCCATCACCTGCAAGATAAAAGAAGGTGATAGAACTTAACAAATTTTGAGGTTTTGCCACACTGATAAATTTTAGATTTTCAATCAGTTTTACATGTGGTTCCTTGTTTCTTGATTATTAATCCTTTCTTAGAAATGTTTGTACAGTAGAATTAGTGATGTGTGTGTCGTTGACATTTATTTAGTGTTTTAAATTTTGTTCAGTTTTAGGTAAGCTTTAGTTAGTGGATATAATGTGGCTCATAATGGATTTGACTCTTTCCATTGATTTTATTTCATAATTTTTCGTTGAAATGTTTAGTGCCGACTCCAAATATGTTCTTGAGAGTTGAACATAAATAATATTATTTTAAAATGTGATAGAGATTGGTCTCTGGAGAGAAAAAAAGGTTCATATCCATCAGATATTTTGACAGTTTTTTTGTCAGCTTGTGATTAACTGGTTTCTGAGCATTAATGTCATTTAGCTTAATAGCACTGCAGGTTTAAAGAAGTGTGCTGACTACAGGTAGAGTGTGTATTCACATTTCATAGACAACAAGCTGATTATTTAATGATTCCTAATGGATGTGATATTTAACAGCTTGCATTTTTAAGGCGTCTACACATCCACACACACCTTCAGTAATTTGTCTAGCTGTTTTTTTTAGGTTCCTTCTGCTTTCCCTCCACATTCACCTTTTTACACTGAACATTTGGGGCGTCTTTCTCCACAGTTAAGATTTAATTAAGCCTCATTAGGAAGATCTGGACTAATTGTTTCTATTTGAAAGATGGAGTATCTGGAGGTGTACGCCGTGTGTCATCGTTTTCTGGGTCACTGCTCTCTCACTCTTCTCATTTCATCTTCTATAGACGGCCACAGCTGCTCTACAAATCCTACCACTTTCCCTTTCCTCATCCCCTTACTCCTTAATTCCCTGGCCTCCTAATCATTGCCTTCCTTCTCTGCTTACTGTCATCCAAACCTGCTGTTCTATAGCTTAAGCTCCTCACTGCGTTGCTGTATCTCGGCCGAGAAAATATGTCGCCGTCAAGCTGTGGGGGGATATTAACCTGAACTTCAAAATTTCACCTCTTTTTTTCCGTGAATGAAACGTTTTTGCACATTGACTCTAAGTTTGTTAAATAATCTGCCTGTTATTCATCAAAGACTGTAGTTCCTGAGCTTTATAGGTCTCATAAAAACCTTTCAGATTAACACAAGTTCCTGACACCCATCAAATGCGAAACTTGGTTATTTTGCAAATTATTTTCAAAACTTTTTGGGTAATTTACGCATCACTTCATATATTTATCAATTTTAACTCAATGAATATATTGTGAGCAAACCATATATTTTGTGAGCAAATAGCTCACAAAATGTTTATGCATTTTAACATGTCTACTTTTAGACTTGATCAAATTTTGATCAAAATTTGGTTTAAAAATCTTCAATTCCACTTGCTTTATAGGATCCAACATGTTTTATGTAGTGAGTTCAGACTGTAATGGGAATTACATCTGACGGTTCCTCATATAGTTTCCTGTAAATATGGGATTTTCCTGCACCTCCACCTTATTTAAGTTAGGTGAATGTTGTTTCTTTCAAGCGCTCTGCACAGCTCAGCATGCCATTCTAAAACCTGGCAAAGCCACTAAAAAGAAGCTCCTGTAGGTGAAAAGCCAATTATGAAGTGTGAATCTGTGTGCTGCAAAATTACTTAGAAATTCTTAAATTTGCCCTCTGATTTTCTTCTTAATATCCTTCCCTGGTCAGATTGCTTACTGCAGGGGTGTTTGGTAGTGTTGTGTTTTTTGTTGTTTTGATCGCTTTGTCTGTTTTCTCTGATTTTGGTCTTTTGTTCCACTACCTCTTTCAAACTTCCCTTCTTTCTTCTGCCAACCTAAAATGATCTCTCCTTCTTCTTCATGCTCAATTCCTTTTCTCCGTTGGGCATCCGCATTCTTTTTCTTGCCCCTCTTTCTATCTGCTGTATTTTTTTTGTCTTTACTGGGAGCCAGTGAAGGAAAGCTGGTGGTCCTGGCTTTGGCCATTGGTGTGGCAGAGCAAGATGACTTTGCCAATATCCCTGACCTGCAGGAAACGGCGCAGGCAGCACCACCAGCCAATCAGGAGCCCCCTCCTGAGAAGAGGTACCAGATATTGTATGAGAGAGAGAGTGTTTGTGAGTATGTGTGTGAAGCAATTGCATGAAAGGAAAATGTGACATGATTTCAGAACTTACGTAGAGCAAAATCCTTTTCTTCCCTCAGTGATTGTGCACCTGAAATAGCCTTTCATAGTCTGTCGCAGTTATAAAAATAAGTCGAGACTTTGTAACGTACAACTGAAAACACTCATGTAATGGTGAGATCAGTAAAAGAGATAAAACGTTTCAGGTTTTAGCTGTAAAGAAATAATGAGTTTCTAAACCACTAGAGTGAGATGCTCACAGTCACTAGACTCCTTTATTATGCTTTTAGAGGAAACATTTTAAACAATCAGATAAAACTGTTTTCCCGTACCAGTGGTCTTTCATTTTCCATGATCACCATAATCATTTTCTCTATCACAATGACATTTTCTCTCACCATTTTCCTCCCTATTTTTTTTCTGTCTTTTTACTCCTGTCTGAGACCTCCCGCTGGTAATTGTCGTATTTCCTTTGCATTTTCATGCTTTTTATTATCCAGCCCTTTCCGCGCCTGTGTTCTTCTTTTTCCCTCGTGCTCATTAGCTTCCTTCAATCACCCTCCGCCGCTCTGAGAGTCTCGTCTCTGCAGCTCCGCAGAGGGCCCAGAGAGGCTCCTCATTATTCCACAACACGTTAGTCACTTACATAAACATGCAGCCAAAAATAGCCCCTTTCCTCGTCAGCCAAGTTACACATTCCAAGTCAAAAATATTTCCACTCGTCTGTGAGGATGCACCAGCCTTGCTCGCTTGCAATCTTCCCATCTCCAGAAATAATTATCTCTGGATTCTGTTGTGGAATCGGACCAGTTTTAATAAGCGACTACAGGGGGAGGGCCATGTTAGGCAAATAGCTCACGCCATTTTTTATCCGCTGATGGTTGTCCAGCTTATCTGGATTTTGCACCACAGAGCCGATGTTGAATCCTTTCTTTCCTTCAGCCTTTTTGTGCATGTGAGATGCTCAGTTTTCATCTACAGTCCAGTTAGGTTGATTTAACCTCCATCTGTTTTTGTAATAATTTGGTGACACGCCTTAAAACCAAATGGTAGAAGAGGGTGAATTAATTCTGAAATACATCTTGAATCTGATAATTATGTCTGGAGACGGGAAGAAAATGAGGGTTCTGTCAAAACAGAGTTTTTTGGGGGCGGGATTTGATGTGATTGGCCAACACAAAATCTGATACGTACCACATGGCAATTATTCTTATAAATTTCACTATCGCTGTTTCAAGGAGTCTCTTAAAAAATAGATCTCCCTTCCTTATCATACATTTTTACCTTTAAAGCATCCCTTTGCCAAAATCTGGTTTGCCTTTTCATCACTGTTTTTCAAACTGTTTATTGATCATCATTGCTGCAGCCTACAAACGATTCTCTTCTGTGCAATTTGCCATGCATACGGCATTTGTCTTTTCTAGCTTTTTTGTGTAAATTGAGAAACCTTTACAAATGGATTGTGAAATTTGCTAATAGACTTAACAGCAAGTGGGAAGCAGCGTGTGGCCCCCAGGATCCACCTTGATTATCAGCGACTGAGTGCATTCCGGTATTCGCCGGATTAACCTGTGGCTCATTTAATTTCTTCGACTTGCAAACAGAACGACTGACAGCTTACAGTCTGTGTGCAATAACAAACTGCTGTAGACCCAGTCCATGATTTATTTGAAATGTAAAGTATAAATGTATAGAGAATGTTTTATCCCTCTTGGCCCCAGCGCTGCTTTCACAGATGTCTAAGAATGACATTATCGATCTCCCTTATGGCATATAGAGACAAAACCACAATTTCATTCATCCCCATCCTGTTCACTACTTTTAAACACAAACTGATCACTCATCTCCGCCTGCATTGAGTTCACTGGTTTCAGTTTAAATATATCACTGGTACAGTCAAAAACATAATCTCTGCAGTTAATGTGATTGGATAATGCAACTATAGCATGTTAGTACAGTCAGTGCCAGGGTCAAAATTCAATTTCTCTACTAGCTGATGTATCCAACTAAAACTGGTTGGTCAAGCAGCCAATAGCAACTTTAATATAGTTTATTCAAATATATATGTTGGTTCTTGTAAGCAGCTCTTGCTTCATGCAGCTTTCAAGCAGAACCTCGATAAAAAATGTAAACGAGGCTTTGATGCATGCAAAACCTAAACTTAGTTTTGACATGTCAATTTATTTGTATCAACTGTTGATTTTTAATCCATAGCAGGTCAAATTTATCACTAAAAACTGCACTTACTGTAGATTAATGAATGATGAAATATTTTTACATTGCTGTGTTGGTGCAATAATTCAATTAAATGAGCTTGGAGATTGTTGCTTCACTAATACATTTATTTTATAATGTTACTCATATTATCTAACCTTGGTCACAGTGAAATGTAGGGCTGCAGCTAAAAAATATTTTGGTAATTGATTATTCTATTGGTTATTCTGATGATTCATTGATTAATTGGAAAACAAAAATTTGGTACACTGCAGATTTTTTATTAAGCCATTTTCACACTATATTTAAAAGATACAAATACATAAATAGTTAGATTCTTTTTATGAATAAGAAAATACAATTTAATAAGCGCTCCCTTTCTGTAAGCTTGTAGCAAAGGACGCATTTGCAGAAAAAAAATTACTGACAATTATTATGTCTTTAAAAATTGGATAGCAAAAAGTGCTTAATAAATTTATTTTACAGAATTTGAACTCAGTGAAGCTAAAAATTCCTCTTGAGGAGAATGCAAATGCAAAATACTTTTGCTGTACAGTTAATTACTGCTCTATGTTTTTGTTTTAGCAAATGCCCTTTTTAATATTCTATAGACTCCAGTTAATGATTAATTGATTATTAAATTAGTTACTGATTATTTCAATAACCGATTAATGCCATCAATCGTTTCACCCCTAGTGAAATGTATCTAAAGTTTCTGAGGCCAAAACAAATATAACTCTTTTGTTCATATTTCCGTGTCTGTGGTTAAAGGCAAAATGGCATTGCTGTGTCCAATATTCATAATTCACTGACCTTGTGTGTGCTGTAGCTGGGTGAAAGTGCTCTGTGGTGGCATGTTTATGAAGTGCAGCAGAGCAGACTGACAGTTCGAACTGCAGCAGACCCGGCCCAACTGATAAAGACTTTCTGGCCAGTGACAGGGCGGCAAGGTTGTATGATGAGAGGTTTATCTACCAGGCATCCGTAAGTTGTGTTTTCTAAGAAGGCCCAATTAGTATGCTACAGTTACTGCTTAATGCCTCATTGGTCTTCGCTCAAACAATTCAGTTACAACTCAGTGAACATATTCTGCAGGTTCTCTTCGGCCGCTCATCGCTGTAAAGAGAGCTTTCAGTCCAGATCCCCTCAGAGCAGTGATTGAGCGGTCCAATGAGAACCGGGCCACAGTACCAAGTAGGAGGGATACGCATCTTTGTGCCACATTAACATTCAATCCACTTGCCTGTGGTCCTTTAATTATTCATCCCTGCATGTTACATAATTCTGTGTAAGCCCGTAAAGGCAGTTTTCTCAACCTCACGGATATTATTAGATAGGGATATATATTTGTGTGCCGTAAAGACACGGTGCACTCAGAGAAATTTTATTGCTATATGGGCCGTGTAATATAATTCCATTATTAATGAGCTTAAATTGATCTGAAAGACAGTGGATCGGGATTATGAGTTAAATCAATATTAATGTGTGTTTATTTAAGTTCATAATGGGTAATTAATTTTATTACTCTCATAAAGAGTGAAACCTTTTTCTTCTGTGGAACGCTGTGTGCAGCGTAGCTGTCGGTCATCCCCAGGGGAGCTCGGAAAAACAGAACTAACAAGCAAACAAACAAAAAAAGCATTAAAAATGGAAATAAAATTTACTTTGGGAAATGTTTTCTGCTTTGTGTGTGTGAAGAGAGGTTATTCTCTCCTCTTTTGTTCTATATCTTTATTTTTTATTATTTAATTCTTGATTATTTCCTTGCATTTATTTCAACATTGTGTACATTTTGAATCTGTTTTTTTTATAATAAAATGTCTACCTTGTTTATATATGTATATATTTTTAGTGTTTTTCTACATTATTTTATTTTCTGTTTGGTGAAATATACCTCTTTCTGTTGTTTTTCATCTGAAGCAGTATTTTAATTAGTATTTATTACTTTACTATGGACTGCAATGTTTGTTGTTTTCTTTTTCTTATGTTTTGCTTTTTACTTGTACATGTTGGTCACTGTGTTCTTAGTGGATCTTTACAAAACAGCTTAAATATTCCCCTACAAGCGTTTTTAAATATTACAAGAAAAAAAAAAGGCTTGTAATCTGTATCAGAATTTGTACGTAAACACATAAATTGATTATTCCATGCCTTGCTAGTCTGATGCAGCCGTCCTCCTGTGACAAGGGCTTTCTAAGCCTGACTAATCAACAGGGTCTTCAGGGGCTCTGCTTAAGACTGTCCCCAAGGCAGTGGCTCCCTGAGGCCGCCGCGTTCATCCGGACATCACTGGAGAAATGTCGAAATGTATTCAGCTGCATGCCAAGACAGCGGTAGGAAGATAGCATTTAGCCACGGCAAAAGGAGAGGATGAAGAGGAGGGGGCAGCCTGTTCATACACCAATGCTTACAGTTACAGGCCAGTGGAGAATGGTAGAAAGTTCAAAGTACAAATCCGTCATCCTTCAGAAGGAGCGTTGAGAATTGAGAGAGTCGACTTCACATTTGTGTTTTAGCTGAAGGTGGATCTCCACCCATCATGTTTGTTCAGAACCAGATTCTCACATTTTTTTTTAGCTAGATAGATGGTGAACTGGGAGAGGAGCTATTAGGAGCATTAACTCAGGACTTCTGTGCCCCTTCTCAGAGCAAGTTTGATACATGCAGCTGCCTCATCCTCAGGCAATCTCTGAGATAAATAAGGATTCAAAAAATTTATAGCAACCTCTATTTTGGATCTAAAGTC